CGCCCCCGTTCCCCGCCCCAGCCTCGCCCCGCCCTTTCCGGAGGCTCGCCGCGCGCACGCGCACAGAGGCCCGCACTTTATGGCGACAGCGGGGGGCGTGGCCCTGCGGTCTGTGCGCGCGGCGCGGCCAGACGCTGCGGGCGGGGCAGAGGATGGACGCCCGGGCATCCGCTGCGACGGTTGAGGCTTCGCGAGGGAAGGCGGCGGCGTAGGCACCTGGGCAGGGGAGGCGGAGGCGGCCGGGCTATGGCGGGAGACCCTCTCCTCTGGGCTCTCTGAAGTTCCGGGGAGCCGGATCCCATGGGCTCGCTGAGCAGCCGAGTGCTGCGCCAGCCCGGGCGAGCCCGACCCTCGCAGGAGCCGGGTCCCGGGGTGGGGGGCTCGGCCCGGAGGCCGGAGGCTGGCGGCGACGCGGCCGGCCCCGGCTTCTGCTACTGCCGGGGCAGCCGCAAACGCAAGCGGAGCAGCGGGGCCTTCTGCTACTGTCACCCCGACTCGGAAACAGACGAAGATGAGGAGGAAGGCGACGAGCAGCAGCGGCTCCTCAACACCCCTCGGAGGTACGTGCGGGGACGCGCCGGGCTGAGCACCTGCACCTGTCGGCCGGCCCGAGGGCGCGGACGTGCCCTTGACCGCGTGGCTGGGGGTGGCCCTGTGCGGGGCAGGTCCGGGAGACGCCCGGTGTTGCGCCCCGTAAACCACAGACGCCGCCGCGGTGCGTACGCCCCGGGTGACACTGAGAAACGCCAAGCTTGAGTCGCTTTGATCCCCGGAGACGACGATCGCTGGCCTTCCTTGGCACTCCTTTGCCCTCTGGAGTGTGGGTAGCCGCAGAATAAACTGTTTTCCGCCCTGTTGCCTTAAACAGTAGAGAGGTATTGTGCAGTATGTGCGATGGACACCTTGGGTGTCGCGCGCGCAGTGGAGGGGAAATAATCACCCACAGTGGTTCCCAACTGTAAAGGTGACGTTTATCATTAATGTGAATTTGTTCCTAATTAGGAACACAGTCTTCCAAAGTCTGTAGCGGTTGAAGTCATTGACTGGATTTGCAGACCGTTGAGACAACTCGCTTAACCTTTTCTTTTTGTGGGGGGAGAGTTGAAGAACAAAATAATTGTCTATGGACCAGAAAATAATTTACAGTAGAATATATTCTCACATAAACATTGTGGTTGCTCTGATTTTTTTCAAAGGTCATTAGAATCACAGATGGAATTTTATTTTTATTTTTATTTATTTTTTGGTACCAGGAATCGAACTCGGGACCTTG